TGAAAATTGTTCCCATCATCATTTTAAAAATAGGCCTTTGTGTAAATCTGCAAAAAACAAATTGGTGACTGACCTCACGAAAACAGATTTTATAAAAAGATAATTTAACACTTTAGTAACTTATTTATAATTTTTTGTCGTGTTATTAATAATGTTTCAACCATTATTAATTCATCATCTTACCTTTTTTGTGCCATTAGGATTAAGTCAGACTGGAATTCCATTTTTAAAAAATATATTAAATGGTTGTTGTTGGTCTCAGGCAATTCCTAATGGAAAAGAAGTGATTGTCTGTGCCCTCACAAGTACCCAAACTAATGGAATGATTGGAGAGCTGAATGGGAAAAAGAAGTAGTAAGTGAAAATGGCAGAGAGGATTTTGAAAACAACATATTATTTCAGCATTAGTCATAAATATGCATAATTTAGAGCTAATCAATAGCGGTAATTACAACCCCTTACTGATCTATCCATTATCAGATAGCAATATTATATAAATATCCATGTTATTGGAATGGATTACCATTATTATTCACAGCTATAATTGTTTCTATAGTGACATAATAGTCAAAATCCTTTTCATCCATGTGTGGCATATTAAAATTTTAGTTTTGGTACAACAAGATCCATCCATCTTAGCATAATTCAGATCCTGCTGAATTTTCTGATTGCTTACTCCTAAAGAATTATTGCTGCTAAACTGCCATTTTCTCTCCTCTAGTCACAATCTACATTCAGAATAGCAGGACAAGCACTGGGAGGTGCCAAGCATTTATAATTTGCCTTCAGTGAAAGTTACAGATGCTTGATACTTTTCAGGTCATGAACCACCGTCTGTTTCTTCAGCTCCTGAAACACTGATGCTGTCCATTGTAATTTGAGTTCACTTTTAAATCATGGACTTGATTGTCAATTGCTGGAGTTAATGGCTGTCTTGCCATTCATCCCACATGGGCAAGAGAGAGCTACATGCAAAGAATAACAGAGACTTATTTCTCATGATTGCATAGAATATTCTGTGAGGGAACTAAGCTGGGTTTATAGAACAGATTTTATGCACAAGTCATAAAAGTAATATGCAAGTAGCATGGGGCTACGCTTCATGTCCAGCTCCCGGTGCCTCAGAGAAACTCTTGTGGTAAGGTTTGTTAGATTTTGCTCCAAGTTCAAGGCTCCAGGTAATCAATAAAGTATTTTTATCAATAAAAAAGAAGAAAACAATTCTGTAAATAATTGTCACAGCACCAAGCCTGAGAGAGTTCAAGAAGCATTTGGAGGATACTCTCAGGTATATGGTGTGACACCTGAGGATGATCCTGTGCAGGTCCAGGAGTTTAACTCAATGATCCTTGTGGATCATATTCTGTGATTCTGTGATTTAGTTTAATTTTTCAGTAAATCTGACCATAAAAAAATATCAAATTTGGCATTTATAATTGATACTTAAGTGATAAAGTTTCAGTAAGAACTAGCATACAAATCAGATTGAAATCTGAAAAGAGATAAATACATAAAGAAATTTTTCCAATGTTCACATATAGCAATGCGTTTCTGTGCCTAGAGATTAAATGTGTTTTGGAGAGGGTCGCATGAATTTCATATATTTGCCTCTGGGGTCTATAGTATTTCTGAGAAGTATTTTCTAGGCATAAATGCAGAGTTGCACTGACGTTTCAGCAAGTGTAAGACCTGCTGCACCAATGTTTTCCAGCTGGTCTATGTTTGCACAATAATTCTGAAATTTCCCAAATGGGCTAACCATCCAAAGAGTGGAGACTGTGAGTCCTCTTCTGACTGAAGGGGCACTGAAGGTATTGCAGTTGCATAGAATTGCACAAAATCTTCTAACTCCACTTAAACTGAAGTTGCAGGCAGAAAAAAGATGTAACTGAGAAAACATTGACATATGGCAGCCATAAACCACTGGTCTCTGCAAAGCAGAGATACAAAGCAGAAGAAAGCTAAATTAAATGTCTTGCAAGACGTTACAAATGAAAAATAGTTCCATTAAAAGTTGAACATTAAAGAAATCTCAGCACTGGGGTGACAATGACAGTGTACCACTGTCAAGACTACTACAAGTTCACAGCTCTCTATTTATTGTATTTTTGGAAGGATTTTGATCTTGAGAGATCTTCATCACTTATAAATGAACCAGTCATTAGTAGTCTTTTATGTATCTCCAGAGAGCTATCACAGCTCTCATTAACTGCTATATCTAAACAACTGAAATCTCCTGTTGCAGTGGCATGTGTTTTCAAGTTTGAATCCTTACCCATGTCCTATCTCACAGAAGTAGAAAAAATTAGGGTAAACCAAAAATCTTTCAGCACTGCCTCAGTTAGTATACAAGATATATTGAACTTAAGCATTCAAAGATGTCTTCAAGAAAATAAGGCAAAAGTAAAGGACTGCCAGAAAATTTTTCTTATGAACTGACAGAACAAGGGTTTTTTCTACCAGTTGCTAGTGAGCTAATTTATATCAGTCATTTGCTAGCTAGGAATGTGATCATTTAGGTCAGACAAGAAACCGGTAATAAGAAGGTTTTTATGCAAAATCAGGTTGGACAACTATGGAATGCTATCAAGAAAAGCAGCTGTGTTGCTTGTTCACTTTTTGCCATGGCTTTCCAGAGGAAAAAAGAGAAAAAAATCCAGAAATGAGTTGTCACCTAATTCTCAGCTTCCACACTGCCCTTTGTATGGTTCTTTGTCTTTGTAAAAACACTTCAGATACCTAATAAATGAAATTATTTTTCTTCTCTCAGTCTTACAATTACCCTTTATTTTAGTTAGAAATTTAAAACATATCCATACTGAATTAGAGAGCAGGTCCAGCTTGCTGAGTCCTGTCTGCAATAGAGGCCAATAGCTGCTGTTTACAGAAAGGTATAAAATCAGACTAGGGATCCAATGGTGTTTTCCCTCATCCACCTTCCCAGTTTCCAGCAAAAATGTCATGGGTTGTTTTGTACTCATTTTTTCACCCAGTTTCTTCCCTTCCTGCTAACTTGAAGGATTTTATGAAGCACTAAAACTACACAATCACTGTCCTCTTTTATGGGCACAGACAACATTTTCTCCCCCCCCCCCCCTTTTATTACATTTATAGCCTTTGCCTGCCAAGATACTTTTATGGCGGTGGGAATGATTCTCTCACTTTTGATAAAGTCTGGAGTATCCCTTGGTGCTCCATATAACTTGTCACAATACTCCTAACAACAGCTTGTCGTGTGCTCCTGAGCGACTGATGTTTGTGCCAACTCCCCTGATGGGCTCCCTGATATTGGTAAAGAATATTCTCCTTTACAGCCCCTCTCACACAGGGCTGTACACCAGTTCTTTCCAACTGCTGCTCTTGGGTTTCTTCACTTGTCTTAACTCCCAGGATTTTACCTTTGGAGACAATGAAAATTTATACCTTTGCTTTGCACAGTAACTACACAAACAACTTAAAGAAAAGTATTTCATTTGCTGCCTCACATTTCTCTTGACAGTATTTTGTGCGTTCTTGTGCCGGGTATATCCCCAGCACTTTTTTTTTTTAATGTAACTGGAAACAAGGCATGTTTACCTCAAAATACCTTGTGCAGAGCAGTCTGCATTGTTACAAACTCTTGGCTTTCCATTCAGCTTAGCCTTGTTGCTGGGTTCATCTGCATTTCCAGCTCACAGAAGATTACGAGCCTACCTTCTGTACTGAAATGTGTGACTTAAAGGCAATAAAAGACCAAGCAACAGTATAAAATTGGTTCTTAAGAGATCTAAACGGGAAAGAATTATTGAAGATACTGTTAGGGTCCCTTGCTGAATCATCAAACTATTTTGCAGTGGTAATTGAGACAGCATATAAATACTGCATAGATATCTCTTCAGGTCCTCTTCAAAGAGCAATTGTATTCCATTAAAGTGCTTTTCTTGTACAGGTTAATCTCTCAGAATAAAAGTGGAAAATACAGCAACAAAACAAGATGATATTTTCACTACTCAATAAACTTCTCTTCCCTTTTCTGTAAATAAATAATTCCCAGAGGCACGTCTCCAGGGCTTCTGAAAACTCAAAAGGGCAAGGGAAGGAATTAAAAAATATCACAGCCTGCTCCTACACATTCACAGTGTTTATTAAAACAAACAAACAAACAAACAAACCAACCAGCATGTCAAAGTCTGTCCTGTTTTATACTGCATTTACATGGTATGCAAGTTAAATCAGATTTGGACCCAATCTGCCTGTAGAAGCACATGTCTTGTGCCCCCATGGATTGACATAAAGGTAAGAACAACCTCCCCATTGATATGAAGTAGGGAAGCTGGGTTTTTTTTGAAAACGAGAATGGCAAATCAGGCTTGATGATCAAGACAAATCTTAAATGTGAAGAAGGAGAAAAACATTATCGCCTCTTGTAATTTCTTGTATATCCCTCACTTTCTTTTTTTCTTGTCCTGTAATTTTTTTTTCAGCACCAGAACTATATCTACAGCAGCTGAACAGCACCTGATTTATTTTGGATACTAAGACAGTGTAACTACCAGTGACAAAAATACATTCTCATTGCAGCTGCACACATAGGAAAGTATTTCAACACTCAGAGTTGGATTGATTTCACATTATATGTTAAGAAATAAAAACTTCTCTCTGAATGAAAGTGAAATCCTGCAGTATAATGACTGGATTCCAGTATCAGGGTACTTGGATAAATTGATTTTATTTTTAATTTATCTAATTATACTATCTGTTATTCTGTTTTGACACCTTTGTCTTCCTCTTCTAAGCTGGTGTATGATGGTATTGCATATTTTGCCAAACAATATGCAGTTTCTTGCCCAAAAATTTCTTCATAGGCCTTGCATTTCCTCTCAAAAAGGGTGTTCAAAGGAGTGCATAAAATGCTTTGGAATCTTTGAGGGATGAGATAAACTATATAAATCTTAGTTATTACTATTAAAAGAGCATTGAGTGAGTTGTCTAGAGGCAACTCCAATATGTGATTTGGATCTTTATTGATAAATCATAGAAACCTGCATTACTGATCTTCTTTACTGTATGTGAAACAACTGTTGGATGACACCTTGTATTTCACCAGTTGCCTTCCTGCAATTTCTCAAAGAAAGTAACACAATATATGGTCCACCTGCTGTGAGAACATCTGAAATACCACAGACAGTAAAAAGCCTTTGAGTAAAGTTCTTCCAGAGAATCTTTTGTTGATATGCTTTATAGCATATACATATACCTTACATATATACTCCCTTACATATATATTCCCTATAACATATACCTAACATATACCTTACTCAGTTTTCAGACAGTATCTCTAGCTTTCCATGGAAAAGAACTATGCTTGTATCACTATGCATTTTTATTAAGTGCATGAGAATTTGATGAGAATATTATTTTTAAATATTCTTTTTCTTTTTGTTTAGGTTTTGTTTAGTACTTTTTAAAATTTTTGTTTAGGTCTCCACAAAGGATCAAACAGCCCATTGTTAGCTCATAGCTATCAAGAAAAAAATTATCTCCTGCAAGATTCCTAACAAAGGACTAATCTTGTATCCTTCACCTATGTAAATAAATTGTCAGATGTTAGTAGAACTAATCACAAGAGCATTGCTTTCTGCTTTCATCAGGACTTCAAGGCCTGATTGAAGTATGGTCGATATACATCACTGTCTTCCAATAACATTTTTATTCCAGATGTTGATTTAAAAAGTAGTGTCCTCTCTGAAGAGTGTGAAAGAACTTTATAAGAATTAATTCCTGTTGTGACCTGGAAGAGGGCTACAGCCATCCTACAGGTAGGTCAGCTGAGTTGCAGCAAGGCTTGGTGGTTCATCTGATACATCTTCATCATCCACATTTTCCATAACCCACATAATTCTCATCATTAAATTCTGCTCGATTCCCTACAAGCACTCTGTGCCTTTGATTTATACTCAATTCCTTTAGACCCACAAAGCAGACAGTAATTGTACTGTATGTACACAGTGGAATGGGACCTTAAGGGATAGGTTTTTAGTAACTCTGATGACACCTTTCTAGTTAGTGTAGTGTAGCAGGATCCTATTTAAGATTGCTTTGTTTAATTATTTAAGAACCATTATGGTAACTGGATATACTCTAAGTGTAATTTATTAACTCATACACTTGAATTATCCAAGTCTCTACATCCACTGAACAGAATTACAGAGGAACTAGAATAAGATAATGGTATTGAAATGCTATGGAATATTCCCTCTGCTGAGAAGTAGAGAAGCTCTCTTATCTCTCATACCAAAGGGGTTCATAAGCTTTTTCAAACTATGCACTACAAGAATAATTTTATACTAGTAGCAGATGTTTATATAGACAGTATTAAGAAAATGTGTGCATTTTTTATACAAGTATATGTCTGCATATGTGTAAGTAAATACCTACACATATAATGCATACATAGATAAGTCTTCAATGTAGCATTGAATTTGCTTCCCTCTTTTTGTGTAAGAAATGATACTGCATCTGTTTTCCCTCTCTCTTTGCTCTTCTGAAGATGCTTCTTTATGCTCTGATCCCTGTCTTTTTCTATTGCTGTGTTTTCTTGTTGTCTCTAAGCTGGGTTGCCTTGTTAAATGTTTCCTTTCTCACTGCAAGTACTACCCATTCCCCTGGATCCCTCTCCACCATTATCCTCTGTGTACAATGCCTGTCTGCCTCATGCCTGTCTGCACGGGACATTTTTTCCTCCAGAAAATGACAGCTCTGGGATCAGCACCTTGAGAGTGCTCCGATATAGTGTCTGCTTTTGCCATCAGCAGCTGGATTCTCTTCTTGCCATGTGGGCACTTTTGCACAGAGCTGTCATTTGCAAAAAGAATACAGGCACATGGAGCAGCAGATAAAGAAAATAACATCTAGAGTAAATCATGTGAGCAAACAGCCCCCTGAAAGCCATAGCAAGCACTCACACACCATCTCAGTGTCATAAATTAATTTGGAACTGTTTAGAAAGAAAAACTTTCAGCACTCAAGATTCTTACTCACAGCAGTCTCTTCAACAGAATATTGCTTCAGTTACAGCATGTATCTTTCTTAACCCAAGATGCTTCCCATAGTTCTGCTGTGCTCCAGACAACATGTCATAAACACCAGGAACGTGCAGCAGAGCCATTATCAGCCCTGGATTCTGGGCTGCAGCATCCCTGCTGTTCAAATATACTGGCACAGGACAGAAAACTGATAACAGTAATTCTACAGAGCTTTTGAGCTAGGAGAAGAGGGTTGCAGACAATTACTGCCTTGGAGGCTCAGATGTTCTAAAGTAAAAAGGGGGAAAACTCATAATTTACCTGTACTGACCACTTCTGCAATAAAAAAGTAATTTGCTCTAAATTAAGAGCTTGCCAAAACCGAAAAGTTAGACAGGCATGCCTGAGAAAGATTATTAGCAGACACAGAATGCTTTCCTGTGTAATCACAAATGCACAACATCCTTCTTACACTTAACCTTTATGTGCTACCATAGACCAGTATCAAGTTTGTCCTTCCAGCACACATCTGTAACTGAAAGCTTTTAATATCCTCCTTCCATCTTGCTCAAAGCCAAGATATCAGGAACACAGAAAGATTTAACCACTTATTAAACAGCGCTATTATGTCAAGCAATATGTTCTTTTCTGCAGGGCACTAGTGAATTGAATGTGCAAGAGAGACAAAGTGTCTAACAAAGAAAAAGCTGCTACATGACAAGGATTGCCTCTGCTCTCACAAGGAACTCGACTAGCAAGGAAATCTGCTTGTCGAGTACAAATGCGAGCAAACCTATGACAGCAAATGAGGCAATGGGAAACCACAGAAATAAAGATGTAGAAAGAGACTGGTGGACATGAAAGTTGGGTTTTTTGGGGGTAAATATTGCTTCGATAGTACATAAAAACATTAGCGAATCATAGAATTATTGAATGGTTTGGGTTAGAAGGGACCTTAAAGATCATTTAATTCCAACCCCTCTGTCATAGGCCGGGATGCCACCCACTATATCAGATTGCTTAGAGCCCCATCCAAGCTGGCTTGTTGGATTCAGTTTGGGGTCTAATTGCTTGGATTACCTGTCTTAAGACGAATTTGACTCTCTCTTCCTCTTTTTTGGCAATGTGGACTTGGAAAAACCAGGTTTAATTGTCATATTTCACACAACCATTGCCCAAACACGGCGCACACCGAGTACTTTCATGGCTAGGTTTCGCAAACGAAGATTTAGGAAGGCACTATCCACGTTTGTTACAGGCATGTTGGTGACTTACAAGGCCAATATGAGATAGACACTGTGAGCAGAAAAGGTCTGTGGCAGATTTTGGAATGTTTAGGTTGTCCCCCTAAATTCCTTAAAATGATCATCTCACTCCATGAGGATCAGTACGGCCAAGTCGGATATGGCAATGCACTTTCTGAGCCCTTTCTAATAAAAAAAGGTGTGAAACAAGGCTGTGTTCTCGCTCCAACCCTATTCACAGTCTTTTTCAGCATGATGCTCCAAAGGGCCACAGCAGACCTCGATGATCAGGATGGTATTTACATTCGATACCATACTGATGGAAGCCTTTTCAACCTAAGGCGACTGAAGGCCCACACCAAGACACCGAGTACGGAACAGAGGTGAAAATCAGACCCTGAGGCAGGAACTCATACCAGAGAATTATAGAATATCCTGAGTTGGAAGGGACCCACAAGGATCATTGATTCCAACTCCTGGGCCTCCACAGGACCATCCCAATAGTCTCACCATGTGCCTGCGAGTATTGTCCAAACGCTTCTTGAACTCTGTCAGGCTTGGTGCTGTGACCACTTCCCTTGGGAGCCTGTTCCATTGCTCAACCACCCTCTGGGGGAAAAACCTTTTCCTAATATCCAGCCTAAATGTTCCCTGACACAACTTCAGGACATTCCTGGGTCCTATCATTGGTCACCTGCCCCTCCACTGGTCCTCACAAGGAAGTTGTAGACTGAGGTCTCCCCTCAGCCTCCTCCAGGCTGAACAGACCAAGTGACTTCAGTCACTGCTTGTATGGCTTCCCCTCAAGGCCCTGCACTGTCTTTGTACACCTCCTTTGGACACTCTCTGATAGCTTTATGTCCTTAATCCATTTAAGAACGCAAAATAAATATCATTATATAACAATAGGTATTTAACACCATGGCAAAGCTGCCACTGGGGAGTGTTCCAGTGAAAGAAAATGCAACAACTCCCATAGCAGTATTAACACACCTTTATTGCACAGTATAGATGCATGCACACCTATTGACATAGAGAGGTCAGAATGACCCTGTATCCAGCTGAACTACCCCACAGCTTCAGCAAATTGACATCTGCACTCTCTGTGAGGCCAAAACACTGCAAACAGTTCAGGATTCCTACATTCCTATGTCAGTGATTCTTATCTGCCTCTGAAACTGCTGCTGATACAGATTCACACTACTTCACATTTGTTTCCTGTCTTTAAAGCTAAGTCTAAATCCATAATTACCAGTTGATGTCATGAGTCAAAGGGACAAAAGCCACCAGCAATTTGGGGCTCTTCAGTTTCTGAAACCCAACCTGAGACATGCTGACCAACCTACATCTCTACTCACCTCTGCAATTCTCTGCTAAATAGAGGACAAGGAGGCTTGGTTATATTCACCTTTTTTTTTTTTTCTGGACAGAATTCCACTCGGAAAAAGAAGATGCAGTCAAAAATGTATGGATGCATGACAGCCATGTATTTTAGACTTAAAATGGTTACCTAAAATCGGTAACTATTTCAAAAGAAAATGTTGCCTGTAACTTTTGCAGGGCCTGGAGTATCCAAGCAGCTACTTTCCCATGGTCATATAAGATCCTAAGTACAGTACTAAGGTGAGGAAAAAAAATCCCAAACCCCATAAAGCAACCTCAAAACTGAATACACTGTCATTTCAACAGAAAACTAAAATATTAACATAAAAATGTATTATTATAAAAATTAAGAAATAAGTCTCATTTTATTTCACCTTCAAAAAAAGGGAATTGTTGTACAGTCAGTAAAACAGACATTTAATTAGGCTTTGTAATTCACATATAATTGAATAAAATATAAGGAAAAAAAAGCATATCTACCTCAATTCATTATACACCATGGTTTGAATGCATACAGCTTGCCTCCATAGCCTTTCTTTTCACAGCAACTTTCTGTGAGTCATCTCTCCCAGGGCTGAGGCATTCAGTAGGCTTTGTGCAGACAGGTCAAGTGGATCTGTCTGTTCTTGGAAAGCCATAAACAACATAAAAACTGAATGTATATAATTAAGTTAAAGGATACAGACTCATTATATCATTTCTGCAAAATGGTGAGAAGTTGCCAGCAATCAGATTGCTCAGGATGCTGCAAAAGGAATTGCTCTGGACCCAAATTTGACTTAAGGATCTTCCTAAAAAATCTTTCCATGGAAGAATAAGAATAAAACAATGTGTTGGGGTTTTCAGTCAGAATCTCAATTACTGCAGTTGTAGCAGAATAATCATATAAAAAAGTCAGAAAAAAGCATCCTGCACATGCATATATGGATGTGGCTACATCTTATTGTATACAAAAAAAGGAGTGGGCTTGTGCACATTTAACATTCAAAATACAAAAGAAACAAGATGATTTATTTCAGCCAAAAAACAGCTGTAAAATTTAAAGGCATCAGGAATGAATGAGAGAGGAAGCCACCGGGAGGCACTATTGCCACTTAGGAAGTGCACGATCAAAGCCTCTCCTGCTGCAGCAGGTCTTTGACCATCAGCAAAACAACCTTGTGTGCAGGTCAACTTATGAGCAAGATACAGAAAATACAGGTATTTAGAGGCTGGTGCGTTTTTACCTACCTTGAATAGTGCTGAAAGTGTTTAGAGTAAGAGTGATGTGCGAGTTTTCCTAGTTACTAGAGACTAAAGTGGTTGTGGTTTGATTTTTTTGTTTTGCTTTGTTTTATTATAAGGCATCATCTAACTTTATCCTGAGCAATCGTGGTGTAATAAACAAGAGGGCTATAATGAACAAACCAAAATTTTAATGGATTATGAAAGACCTTCTTCGTAAATTAAAAATTAAGGAATGTCTACATAATGAATACTTACATTTCGAAACTGCAAATTGTTATGAAAAAGAGAAAACTGAAAGTGATGATAATATTAATTTCATTGCAGTTAAAAAAACCCTTAATATTTTGTTTTATTAATCATCTACTCTATCAACCCTTTTGATTATAATCTCACAAGAAAAAAACAAAGCTATGTGCAGCAGAGATGAAAAATGAGAAACCACAGAAGCCTGAGGCATCCGGTTCTTATACTGCCTCCCATCAGAATAAAAGTCCACAAAATGCAACTTCTTTTTTGTTCCAGGTGCAACTAAGTAAAACCTTATTTTTCATGTAATTAATAATTCTTTGGCAATTTAAAGAATATGGTATGTCTTTTTCAATTCTGCATTCCAGGATTCTGAAGGAACTTCATAAAAAGCTTTGACTTTCACTTATATGTATCACAGTCAGTGAAGGGTTTACTTAGTATTCTGGTCTTATGCATTTACCATATTTTTAAAGGTTGCCATAATCTGGAAAAATAAAACATTATTTAGGACTTTTCTTATTTTATAATGAAAATAGTATAGGGAAAATGCCTTTTAAAATGTTTTATGATCTCTCTTGATCCATGTGGACAAGAGTTTAATTCCTGAAGCTGATTCAGCTGATTCAGCTGATTCAGCTGATTCATTTTCCTTTTCTGCTGTTACACATAATATTTCATATGCAAGATATTTGCCCTTTTTCACCTGAAGATAGAAACACACACACCTTTAATTATTGACAAATGTGATATCATCTCCCTTGACTGCCCAACACTTTACCCAGAAAGATCTGCTTATAGCATAAAGTATAGAAATACTCACATGCAAAAACCCAAAGTGAACAATTTTAAGGCACATTATACCTTGAATTATTGATTTCACCACACACAATACATTGACACAAACACAACAGAGATCTCCTTTGAAACTCCTCCTTAGTGTAGAGGTTTAATGTTAAAGTGAGTCTAGCAGGTTAATCCATGGGAATATCAGATGTCGACTGGCTTA